CCTTGTCACCACCAACATTGCCAGATAGCATCAGGGAGGCGATATTGGAATTAGAGGCAAGTCAGTTGAAACTTAATTCTGTCTTTATTTTTTCATTAGGAGTAAATTACACGGCATAGTGTGGGAGTTCCTGTTGATCAGGCTATTAGTGGCCAGAAGTGCTGCTTGTCAGCTTCAACTGGGCTGCCGGTTGAGTCCTCCTGCATTAATCTTGCTTTGCTGATATTTGCACTGGATGCGAATCCAAAGCGCACTCTTTTGCAGAGCGTGCCTTTTTTTTTAAAAGGCAGCTTGAAGACTTGAATTCATTTTAGAAACTTCATCAAGAACTTGTAGGAACAAGGCAGTTGGATCATGCAGTTTCTTCCCCACGTTCTTTTTACACTGACGATTTTAAGAACACTCAACGTCTTGGTTTAATGTTTTAAAAACTTTCCCTAGAGTGCAGTTGCTTGTTAAAAGTTCTGCTCAAACCAGATCTGTTTAGGGAGTAACAGAAGCAGGATTTTTTTTTTCTCTAAGAAATGGGTTGTTTTTATTTAGGATAATACAGCATCTTATGCAAGATGAAAGTTTAGCACCGAGAAATTAAAAATGTCTTAATATCTGAGCAGTAGGAAATTAAGAGTTTAACACGGAAAGAACTATTGAAAATGTGCAACGTCTGATTTTTGTACAGGTGTTGGAGATAGAACAGTGCTGACCAGCCTTCAATGTAATTTGACAACCAAAAGGATGATGGTGATGATACATTTACATAAAGTATAAAGACACATGTCTATGGAGATGCTCAGTCACCAAGTTATGGTTGGCCCAAAGGTGCTTTTTCAAGAGGCAACTGGACTTCTTTGGTTTTTCTTTGAAAACGTTTCGCTTCTCCTCCAAGAAGCTTCTTCAGCTTTCCACCCCCCCTCAGCATTCGAAGGGTGTCCATCCCAAAATGTCTATGGAGATTCTCAGTCATCCTGGTCATAGTTGTCCCAAAGGTGCTTTTTCAAGAGACAACTGGACTTCCTCGGTTTTTCTTCAGCTCTGAAGAAGCTTCTTGGATGAGAAGCAAAATGTCTTGAAAGAAAAACCAGAAAGTCCAGTTGCCGCTTGAAAAAGCATCTTGGGGACACGAAGACCTATAAAGCTATGTCCTGCTACCCTAAAAGAGGGGAATTCTGGGCAATGGCTGCCCTGAGCCTTCCTATGTCTCCCACCAAGTTCAGGACTGGGCGGTCACTTGTTTTGGGACCTTCTCTGGAATGTGCTGCCTCCTCCACTGTGGTACCACCGCCATTTCCCGCCCCAAAGCTTCTCCGTCACCTGCACATTTAATCACACCTGACTGAGCATAGAATAAGAGAGTTGGAAGGGATCTTAGAGGTCTTCTAATCTAACCCCCAGCCTAGACCACTGGAGGTCTGATCTCTTCTTAAAAGCCTCCAGTGAAAGCCTTCTGGCGGCAAGTCGTTCCACTGGTTAATTGTTTTCACTGTCCGAAAAATTATCCTTAGTTCCAGGTTGCTTCTCTCCTCGATCAGTTTCCACCCGTTGCTTCATGTCCTGCCTTCAGGGGCTTTGGAAAACAGATTGACCCGCCTCTTCTTTATGTAAACCACTTAGATATCGGAAGAAATGATATCATGTTGCTCCTGGTCCTTCTTTTCCCTGTGCTATAAATCCCTTCTGGTCTGAGGGTATGGCTGCATTTTCCACCCCAAAGTATTGTGGGCACAACATTTGATCTGTCTGAGACCTCTTCTGGAAATGTGGCACCTTGAGAAAACAGAGAAGTGAACATCCAAAGTTCTACCAGTTTAGTCTCAAGCCATAGTCCTCCCCTTTCTGAAGGGCTGGTGCATGATACTTGTCCTCATAGAGAAGGGCTGAGATTTTGAGGAGACGCTTTTTAGATGACAACATGATAAGCAGGACATCCTTAAAGGAGCAGCAGAGATCGGCAACCAGCAGGTGACTTCTGGTTGCCTTCATCTCCAGAAAAAGGAGAGAGGATGAGGTTTCCCACATGCGCTCCCCACGAGTATATACTGCAGGAACTGAGATTTTTGCAATCAACTCATGAGTGGCTTGGAGTCGAGGGATGCCTTGTGATCTTGCAGTCACCATGTAGTCTGTATGGACAAAAAGCTCAGCTGAGCCTTGCTTTTTTTGAATTTCCTTTGAATTGCTTTTTATTTATTGAGAACTTTTGGTTCACTATGTTTTGCAACATTCCTTGAGTGAGTCCCCATCAATCCTTGAAGAAAGAAGTTGTAGGTGCACGATTAAGGTCTTAAAAAATGAGGAGGGAAAATAAACATGATTAGAATCTTTATTTTAGAAAGTTATAAAGAATCTTTATTTTAGAAAGTTATCATGATTAAAAACATGATTAGAATCTTTATTTTAGAAAGTTATAAATGGGTTAAGGGTCCAGAGGGATTTCAAATAGTTATAACAAATCTTCCCATGGGAAAATGCTATTATTTAGGAAAACAACACATGATAAGATGGGATTTGGAAGGTTGGACACTAGAAGGAACCTGGAATAAACTGAAGTTTATAATTAAAAATCATTTACATTTGCATTTGTAAAACAAAATGGAGCAAAATACTTTAATTTTGGGTGAACTGAAGGGTATTCCTAAACAATAAACTCAAGTTAGTCTTAAGATTGTCTGCTATCATAGACAGGCTGGTTTTAAAAGAGATTATAGAATAGAAACAAGTTTTACTGGACAAGACTGAGGCTGATTTGAATATGGATTTTAAAATGACAGGTTACAACAGTGGTAAGGACAAAGATGTTATACTGGATATACAAATGAAATCTTAGTAATTATAAGGGATAGACAAATAAGAAACAAGAAGAGTGACTTGGATACTTATTTTGGATTTGCAAGAGACTTGTTGAAATTTTGAAGGATTTTTTTGAGAAGGGATAAAGACACCATGAAAAAAAATCATTTTTTGAGAGATTATTTAAATAGACTAAGGATCAACATTGTTAAAATTAAAGGCAAAGAATATAAAATCGGATTATTTGATCAAGTGTAAAATATAAATGTTATTTCTGGTAACCCCCAATGGATTTTTGCTGACCTGAATTGAATGTATAGGAAGCAAAAATGTTTTATCGTATTTTCAGAGAAAATGATAAGTTTCTGACATTGCTTATACATGCTGTGATGAAGGGAGAAGTTACTTCTTTATATATTTCTTTTCTTTTCTAATGTATTCTTATCTTTTTTTTCCTTTTTTGTCTTTTTATTTTTTGCATTTTCAATTTTTCCCTTTTTATTCTTGTTCATGTTTGTTTAATTTTATTAATTATTTTTTCATCTTTGAAATTATAAACTTTTCCTCCATTCAATCATGTTCAATTCTCAGAGAATTCCTGGACAGGTCCCTGCAGTTTTCTTGGCAATTTATTTTGACAAACCTTAATCAAAAAGGTCAAGATTTTCTTTGTGAGCTTGATTTTGTATTTGAGACTGATGGATTTGTGTGTGTGTGTGTGTGTGTGTGTGTGTGTGTGTGTGTGTGTTATTCATCTGATTTTACTGAACACAAATTTTTGCGGAGAATGGAGACTGGGCTGGCTATTTTTATTTATGCAGTATATTAGGAGTAACTGAATATTCCTTGTAGATTAGCTACTCTTTTTTATTGTGAATTTGACTCCCTGGGATTCTATTATCCAAGTTACGTTTCATGACATAGTTGGCATTCTAATGCACCAAGTTGGACTCCATGGGCGAGGGGCAAATCCTGCTTCTCCCTGTAACCCCTTGAATCCATCCAAATCTTTTCCAGAATCGAATTCCCCATCTAGTGGTTAAGGTGTGCCAGGTTAGAAAGTGGGAGAGCCTGAGTTCTAGTCCTGCCTTAGGCATAAAAGCCAGCTGGGCATCTTTGGGCCAATCACCAGGTGAGTTCTAGTCCCGCCTTAGGCATA